CCAGGCTGCGGGGAGAGAGGCCATCGCCGCGGGTCTGGAGCCCTGGTTCTGCCCACTCACCCGCGGCCAGCCCGAGCCGAGCCTCCTGAAGTTCTTCCCCTCCTGGTCCCTGGAAGCGCCGCAGGGAAGGTGCGAGCGGCTCCTCTGGCTGGTGAAGGGATGCGATGAGCCAGCAAGTGATGGGGAGGACGGGCGCCACTTCGTCCCAGGAGTTTGAGAGTTTGGCAGGATTGAGATGTTTGGGGCGATGTTAGGGCTGTCACCGGCCGGGATCTCGGGGTCCGCCCTGGCGGGAGCTCCGCGCACCTGCTGGAGCACTGAGGTCCCGGCGCCTGGCGCGCTTTATAGTCTCCTAGTCCCCCGCTTTGGTGACGTCGTGGAGGCTGCGGAGCTAACCAACCGCTTCGATGCGCTCCTTTCCTCCACCCGCCCTTCCTAAATTCATTCATTCGCTACCCGCCGCCCAGCAGCTGGGGCTTGGCGGGAGGTCGTGCTCCGGGAGGGGCTGCACTGTCTCAGGTGTAATTAAAATCTCTCCAAGATTGTTTTTCCACTTTTAACTTCAAGATGTTTTGCTGAGGTCCCTGCTCTCAGGCGTTTACTGTTCCTTTTCTAAACCAATTAAACCGCTCACCGGTAAATCAAAAGCACACCCCAGGGGATTTTTTTCTGAGAGGAGGGGCGGGGAGGGGTGGGGCGCAGGCGGGTAGCTTGCTGAGGGCTGTGCGCACAGCTAGCCATGCCCGGTGTGTTGTGTTACTGGCTTTTGGAATGTGACTCAACTTTCTGCACGCGTGTTTATGTTATCACTTCTCAGATCTCTTTTCCTCTAGCTCCCACTTTCAAATCCAGTCGCCCTCTTCCTCTAATCTCAATCTCCAGGACAGACGATGGTTTCCCCTGGAGGATTCTGCCCTGGGTGGCATGCCATGACGCACAGGGGGGTATACCAGAAACCACGAGCTGTATTTTCTTGAAAAAAAGCAACAAAAATTGGATTTCTTTATTTCTCTGGTATAAACGTATCCTGTAAGCAGTCTAAATGCATACACTTGGTTGTACAGTTTTGCACATCTGGCCCGTGGGTTTTCAAGGCCTGACCGTGAGGACACAGTGATGAAGATGAACAGCAATATACTTAGTTTCCTGGGCAGGTGGGCAGGCCTGACTTCTGAGCTTTGGCTGGAGCCGGTGAGCCGGAGTGCACCGTGGAATTCGAGCTGGAGAAAATAGTCTGTGATTAGATAGATTTTATAGACAATGTATCCGTGTGTTCCAGAGGCGATGCTCTCTTTTACTAGTTTCTTGGGGTAGGTGTGCAGGGATTTCTGTTAAACATCATTTAGCAGAAAACACGTGGAATCTTTCAACCTCAGTTTTCTCATTTGAAAATGAAAAATTATAAGGATGAGTGGTTTCAACAGATTCCTTCAACAACACTGGGCGAGATGGAGACCTAAGTGAGTATTAGCTGTTTCCCTCTTGTTATTGTTTTGCGTTTTCATCTAAATGTTTTCAGGTAAAATGAATCTTAGGGAGTTTGCTTTACTTCAAATAGAGGTACCTTCTAATTTGTGAATATTCTGTATTGTTTAATTTCCCAGTTCAGAATATGTTCTTTAAAAATCCTGCAATGATATGGCACAAATGGACATAGGGTGACTGGTCATGACTAGTGTTTTCCATTTTGTATTTTTTATGATGAAAACAGTAGTGTATAGAAATAAGTTTGAGGCAACCTGATAATTACATTGACAAAACCCTGCTTCAAGGTAAATGCATGCTGAAAGTGATAATTATCAAAGGTTATTATTTCCCAAAGAGGCCTGTGAAAATATATGATAAATGATAAGTGATTTTAACAGAGATTTCATATTTCCTGCTTACTAAAATTCTAAATTAAACAAATTTTAAAGGCAAATTACTTCTTTCTGCCAATTTATCATCTAGAAATTACTTGAGTTACAAATGAAAGCCTCTTTCTTCCCTAATCAAATCATGAATTTTTAAAAATTTCTTTGTATGGTACACCATTTATCCTAATAGAGGGAATATGCAAATTGACTGTCACATCATCACAAAGATGACTGTACCCACAGAAGAGGCGGGGTTTCCGTAACACAAGTTGGCTGCACCCACCGCAGAGGCCGAGTTCCCCTAACGAGCCTTACCGAGCAATCAGCAGGGACCTGAGGCTGCGTGGCTCTGGGCCGGGGCAGGGGACCTGAGGCTGCACCCCCTGCCCAGGGGGGCTTGACAGGGGACCTGAGGCGGCGCTCCCCCACCAGGTGAGGCTTGACGGAGGCCCTGAGGCTGTGCCCTCCTCCTCCGTGCCGGGCTGGGGGACCAGAGGCTGTGTCCCCCTCCCAACTGGGTTTAACAGGGGACCTCAGGTCATGCCCCCCTGCCCCAGCACAGGGCTGGGGGACCTGAGGGTGCACTGGGGGACCTGAGGCTTTGCCCCCTGCCTGACGGGGCTTGACGGGGGACCTGAGGCTGTGCACCACACCCAGTGGGGCTTGACAAGGATGGGGCTGGCTGGGGCTGGATCTCGCCCAATGGGGGTGGGTCCGTCTGGGTCTGGGTCTCGGGTGATTTTGAGGCACTGTGGGTGGGCAGGGACTTGACTGTGGGTCCTATGGCGTGCCCCAGACTCTGATAGGAGGAAGATTTTCATATATATTTTACTAATTTTCTTTTATCTCTGACACTTCTATTATAAAGGGCAAATAGCAATATTAAAATTTTCCTCTAATTTATCCCCTTTTAATGTGCATGAATTTTGTGCACTGGGCCACTAGTTAAAATTATAAAATGGATTGCCCAACTGGCATGGCTCAGTAGTTGAGTGTCAACCTATGAACCAGGAGGTCATGGTTCGATTCCCAGTCAGGGCACGTTCCTGGGTTGTGGACTCGATCCCCAGTGTGGGGTGTGCAGGAGGCAGTGAATCTATCAATGATTTTCTTATATCATTAATGTTTCTACCTCTCTCTCCCTCTCCCTCTCCCCTGAAATCAATTTAAAAAATACATTAAAATAAATAAAATATTATAAAGTGGATCATTGTGGTGGTTTGGTAATTATGTATATTTTGATCAAATGTTTTAAGTTGTAAAATTACTTGGTTGTGTAGAAATTCATTCAGTTTACACTGTTCTTTTACTTATCCATACAGAGTCTCATAAGTCTGTGATTCTGTTTTCCTTGGATTTACATGTGGGTGGAGATGATATGACAAAAAATAAATGGTAATTATGAAATTGAAATAGTTACAATGCAAGGGACTTAAAGAGATCTTTTCTTTCAGAAGAAAAGAGGACCCCAGGTCATGCTTTTCCTTCTAGATATGCCTTTCTCTCTGTATTCCAGGGTAGTAGTGAGGGTAGTCATTGTTCATTCATTGTTTCAGTCATTCCTCAGGTATGACTTGAGTATACTTCTTTCCAGGAGCTGTACCAAGTACTAAGAATGTAGCAATGAAACAGTCTGATATGAATCCTGTTCTACTACAGCAGTGATGGCGAATCTTTTGAGCTCAGCGTGCCAGCATTTTGAAAAACCCTAACTTAACTCTGGTGCCGTGTCACATATAGAAATTTTTTTATATTTGCAACCATAGTAAAACAAAAATTTATATTTTTGATATTTATTTTATATATTTAAATGCCATTTAACAAAGAAAAATCAACCAAAAAAATGAGTTCACGTGTCAGAGGTTCGCCATCACTGTCCTAGACCCACAGTCTATTAACATTTTTGACATTCAAGCAAGTATTATGAATAGTAAAATAGGGAAGAAAAGAGAAAAATGGAGTGTGTGACTAAGTGGAAGGATGCTGTACTCACTGGATTCTGGATTCTGTCAACTCTTCTTAAAAAATGGGAAATTTTTTCCAGGCCTTTGTGGCTCAGTTGGTTGATTGTTATTCCCATGCACCCAGAGGTCACCAGTTTGATTCCCTGGCGGGGCACATGCAGGATGCAGCCAATTGATCTCTCTCTCTCTCTCTCTCTCTCTCTTCCTCTCTCTCTCTCTCTCACACACACACACACACACACACACACACACACCCATTGTTGGGAACTGGCAGGACTATGAAAATGCTGGGGTAGCAGAAGACCATATTTACTCTCTGTTTTTGCCTCCCTCCTGAATCCCAGTAGAGATGTGAAACATGGGGCTACGGATTTTTTTTTTTTTCTAACCTTAGGAGGTTGTACTTATAATTTCCACTCTACATGGCAGACTTTTAATTCAACCTGAGGTCTGCGTTCTACTCAGCAGATATTATTCTTTATCCAGAGATTTAAACTTATTTTTCTGGAAATACTAGATTAATAGACTTATTGATATTTTTCTGTCTTATTGTGTTGGAGAGACCAGGAGTAATATTTTGGGGGAGAGTGGCGACCTGAGTAAATCATTCTTAAAATGGAAAAGTTCTGATCCTAGCCTTTGCGATGATTACCACTGCTCTTTTTGATTACATGATTTGTTATTTGGCAATAAAAATATATCTGCTCTTGGGGGTAGGGGAGGCCAGGCGATTGTCAAGGGCGGGGAAAAAAGGAGACGTATGTAATACTCTTTGTAATACTTTAAGCAATAAAACAATTAAAAAAAAAGAATCAACCAATGAGTGCATGGATGAGTGGAACAACAAATCGATCTTTTTCTCAAATCAATAAATAAATTTTTTAAAAAGAAAAAAAGTATCTGCTCAACTGTAACTAAAACTGTGTTTTTGAAATCTCATAAAGTAAACATAAAACAATGCAATTTATTTGTAGAACTAACTCTTCAGACAAATTTTTGTAGAACTGATATTTAGTTAACAATTGCTGACTAGTTATTGGGCTTTAATTGAAACTTTTACTGTTGAATGTCATACAATTAAATACCTGTTATGGTCTGTGTTATATCAGCTCATCATTGGGACAGGGAAGGAAGTTCTAATGAGTCCGATGGTTTT